TAACTGGGTGACATTCAAAAGCTCTGCTCAGCAGGGCTGTATATTTGTGCATGTCAAGAGCCACTTTTCCTCACCCTGTCCCCAGGAATTCCCTTGTCCCGATGGGAAGAAGTCTCACAGTAACTGTTACCAAAAATGGGTGAAGGACCTTTGCAGATTTCACATTGCTCTTAGTAAAGCAAGGGGCTTTTTTCCTTCCCGGGTTGACTGCCTGTGGAGTGTGCCGTCAGCATGAGTGACTGTTCCCATCACATGCCAGTTGCCATTCCAGAAGGACAGGTGACTCCCTGGTTGTGGAGCTGTTTGGTTCACCAGCTGAACAACCATGCAGGAGCCATTGTGAATTTTGAAGGGTTTGCTGACATCCTTTCCCCTCACTGGCTTTGGCTACTCATGAGTGTTTTCCCCAGAGATCTCGTAAATGTTTTGTTTCCCACAACACATGCAAGTGGGATTGCCAGTGAGCTATTCTGAGCGTTCCCAGGAATTTGCAGCAGGCAGAAAATGTGCTGAAGGCTCCAGTGGAGCCAGCCCACCCGTCCAAGAGCCAGCCATCCAGGCGCTGTCTCTGCAAGTTCCCTGGGACTCACTGCTCCAGCCATCTGTAGGCCTTGAGGGATTTGTTTCCCTCTACAGCTGCTTTTAGCCTCACAGGCAGTGCCTGGAAGTGCCTGAGTGGGCTCCACCACTGCCAGAATGCAAATATCAGAAGCTCTGTGTATGTAGTGATGGTCAGAGATGTTTCTTGTTGATCTTTCAGTGTGTTTAGAGTTGGAGTGTGGGAGTCTTCTGTTCCTCTTAATCATATCCCTGTGCCCCTGAATCTTGCCATGAGGGCTGCCTGGTGGGACATGGAAAATCTGTCCATGAGATAATAAACTGACAAGGGAATGCTTATGGTGTTGGCTGCTGCAGGGTGAGGTTGTGCCTGACTGTGGAGTCCTCATTTAAAGATAGGGGTAGGCTGATGAAGCAATGTTATCCCTATTTCCTTGTAGTGGAATAATGTTATCCCTATTTCCTTGTAGTGTGAACAGATTAGTATTTGGCTATTGCAGTGCACCACCTGATGATGCATCTGTTTCTGTGTTATATTTCCTTCTCCTTTGGGGTCCAAGTCCAGTGCTTCAGATGTGCTCAGTAGAGAGCCTTGTTGAGTGCTCAAATACTTTTGTTCCTTACATTTAAGATTATTAACTATGGGTCAAGTGTTTATTTGAACTTAAGTCTAGATTTGGAATCTCTCTGACCGGCTTCCCAAAGAAGTAGTAAGTGATTTTTCCTTTCCAAATATTGGACAGGTTCTTGAATTACCAATCAGTACTTGCAGAATAAGCAGGTAGGGCTGGACAGAGAAAATCTAAGAATTTGTTTTTTTAATTAAGCAGTCCATTGCTCTTTCAAAGGCTGTATAATAAAAAGACTATTTCAGAGGAGTAAGAATGGTAGCAGATTTTGGGAAGAGCAGTGAAATTGTGATTATGGGAAGATCTGAAGTAGCTGAGTATGTAATTTCAGAACTGAAATAGATGAAATACTGTGTTAGCAACTCTGTATGTTGTAGCCTTTGGGTGGAGGCAGCTTTGTTCCCTGTGCTTTGAACACAAAATACTGACCTGTGGGTCTGTTTCTTAGCCAGCCCCTGTGAAAAAGAAGCGTCCTCCAGTGAAGGAAGAAGACCTCAAAGGAGCCAGAGGAAACCTTGCCAAAAACCAGGAAATTAAATCCAAAACCTACCAAGTGATGAGGCAGTGTGGTAAGTCTCCTTGATTAGAAGCAATTAAGCAGAGTAAAACATTAACTTAACTGCCCTTTTCAAGTGAAAGGATCACCTCTGGAACATCTGGAACAAGTGAAGTATTTATCAAATGTGTATATATGTATTTCAGCAGCACTAGTTTTACTCCCTCAATTTGGGTGGTATTTCACTGATTGTCTCTCCTGGTTTTCTTTTCTAAGAACAAATGGGCTCCGCAGCACCTTCCATATTCAGCCGGGCTCGGACAGGGGGTGAAACAGTCTTTGAGAAACCGAAGGATGAGCCAGCCAAGAGCGTCTTTGGCTGACAGTGGAGCTGGACAGGACTCACCAAAATGATTGTTGTAACATTTTTCAAAATGTCTGTTTCTTGCACTAAAGTCACTGTAGCTAATTTCCACTGTAAGTCCTTAAGCAGGGAATATATTCATGTCAAAGAGTAAAATTTCCATGTTCATTTTTATTACATGCTTTCTTTCTATGTATTGGACAGTGTTTGCTAAAATTGTTTAATAAAAAAAGGTTGTTGGACTCAGCTTGGCACACTGTGGTGACTCATTTCACTTTGGGCTCAGATTAATTCTGTGGGCACTTTGGCACTACAGGCGATGATTTTGTCTGTCAAATGCAAGGAAAAAACACCCTGATGACACAGTCAGTGTCAGTGTAATTTCTTCACACCATGCCCTCACCAAGAGGGAGCTGAGGATGAGCTGATCAAAGGGACAGCACAGAAACCTGGAGATTTCACGCAGATCTGTGTTGCCTACAGCAGCACCCTGGCGAGGGCCCTCAGGGTGGTGGCTCTCCCCTCACGGCTTCCCCTCACAGCTCTCCCCTCACGGATCTCTCCTTGTAGTTCCTGCTTATGGCTCTCCCCTCACGGCTTCCCCTCATGGTTTCCCGCTCATGGCTTTCCCCTCACAGCTCTCCCCCACATCTCTCCCTTCACACCCTTCAGGGCAGAGGCCCCGCTCTCCAAGTGCCCCAGCACTGAGGGAGGGATTTCAGCTCGTTCCCCAGCGGCTTCTTCCTCCTGTCCCACTGGATCAAACGAGAAGTGGGGCGCCAGGCCCAGCTGCCGTGTCCTGCCTTATAATGGAGGTGAGAACCCAACGAGCGTCTCTGTACAACACCAGCACACCCTGAGGGGAAGCTGGTTTTTCTTTCAATGCAGTTTGCTTCTTAATTTGCTGCCTTAATCATCAAACCTGTTTTCTCCCAAACTCCAGAATGTTTCCCCTCAGCTGGATATAAACACAGAGGCGCCTCTGTGGGCACCTGCCATGCTTCCCACTCACCCTGCGAGATGTCTGGGGATGGTAAGGCAGATGCCACCTTTGTTGGAGAAGTTACTTCTATTTTACACAGACTAGGTATGATTAGGAGGTAAAAGCGATGCCAAAGTTCTCTGTGCACCATGAAATGTATCACATTTGAATTTTGTGTCCCAAACACGTGACAGATGAAATGTGACAATGCCCACACAGATCACAGAGAGGCTGTGGAGAGGAGCTCCCTCGAGGCAGCAGCAAACCCTTTGCCTTTAAGGGGAAAGCTTTTTTAATTATATTGCTGGCCCATTGCCTTGCCCTGATTTTTCACTTAAAAATATTATTATTTGCAGGCCAGACCCCACCTTCTCACTTTAGCAGGCACAATTTCTCCGTGGAGCACAGGCTCCTCACAGGTACGTTGTCCAAGCCTTTTCTCTAGAAATATACTTCCAGAGCATGAAAAAAGTCATGGTGAAAAAATCCTGCCCTGATAATACTGGAGCAGCCTCTGCATTGGGTTTAACAAACCCTCCTTAATTAACCTGTGCTGGGAAGCTGGAAGGAGGTTGTTCAATAGTTACAGAAATGATGGTGAGGGACAAATGGGACAAAATGTTGTTGCTTTTCTTACTGCAGCACAAGGGCCTGACCTGCAGGTTTGCAGGTGGGGTAGCAGGACGGGGGGATGCTGCATTTCAGACCCTGCTTTGGCTATGGTGGTGCTGATTTAACAAAGCACAGAAACCTCTGTGTCCCACACAGATTCTACAGGGAGGCCAAGTAAGGTATCTGCCAGAAAAGTGGGATTTGGCAAACACCTCAATTTCCAGGATGTTGTCATGTTCATTTATTTGTGCTGCTTCCAAGTGTGACAATAAGGACTGGTCATCTTTTTTGTCTTCTTGTCTTTTAGTGTGGACCTCATCTAAAAACTGTGAGGGGCAGAGCTGACACTGCAGCCTTAATCTGTGGAGCAAAAGCAGCTCTTTAACATCAATGTGATTTTACACATGGGCATTAGAAAACTGGTGACAGATCCACTTAATTAAAGCTTTGGCTCTTGCAGTTCTTGGGTCACTAAGTGCCTAATCCTGTGTATTTTAAGGGATTAAAGCATTACATGAGTTGTACAAGTTAATCGAATGTATTGCAGTTTAATTTTTTGTCTTTTAAAATATATATATATTTACATATCCTGCTATAAAGAATATGGTATTTGCAGGTAGTATAAACAGTCTGCCTGAGAGGAACAAAGTTTATTTTTTAAAGAGTTACTTAAAGCATAAGTCTTGTAAGACCAGGCTGTGCTTAGCACATTCTTTGTTGTGAACTTGTAGTCTGGTAAGTAATAAATTATTGAGCTCTGCTTTAGTGTCTCCTTGCAACTCCAAGGCCACTAGAAGCTTGCTCTCCACATGGACACTTTGTAAAACAGGCATGAAGAAAACACAGATGCTTATATTTCCACAGGATCTTTGTGTTAATTTATGAATTATTTTAATGAATGGCATTACCTACCAAAGATCATGGCCAGCTGGGCAGGGAGGCACAAAGGTTGAGAAAGCCATCAGCTGTAATATCTTGTGTGAATGTTGCCTGTCCTGGCAATCTCCAAATCTCTGATATGGTTGTGATAATGTTAAGGATGTGCCATTTCAAATTATTACTGTGGAATATGGTAGAGATTCCTGCAGCTTGTTGCACAGACCAAGTCATCTGCCCAAGGGATTTCATGTGACACAGTTAAATCTAATTTTTTTTTAAAATATATAGAAATTTCTTAAATTTATGTGTTATGAAACACTAAAATTCTACTGTTTAAGAGCAAAGATCTGTTGGAAAAATAAGCATTAACGAAGTCCAAGTTTTACTTATGTTTAATGGGTAAATATTACATTTCTGTGTCTCTTCAAAGTCTACATGATATCCCCAAGTACTTGTTATTCATTAACTGATTAAGATAAATAGAGATTTCATTTGAAAATTTGCTTTTTCCAAAATGGAGCAGAGAACACTTCTTGCATTGATGGTCTTTTCCTCACTCATAGTATTAGCAGAAACTAATGATCAGAAGGTATTTGCTCTATTTTTATTCAATATCAATATCTCATTTGCTAATTTGCTGATGTGGTGGTATCGTGGTCACTGGCTAGGTAGTGCAGGTAACTCCTCTGGTTACCACTCCCAGGGAGACTTGGGTGGATTGTGTTGAGATTTTAGAGGTTTGGGTCCTTTTAAGGTCATTTTTGTTGTTTGCTTGGGCTGTTACAGTACAAATGTAATAGGAGACACTTGCAAATGTGTTTGATGATTCTTTTTCTTCAGAATGTAGGATATCAAATTTGAGAGATCAGCAACTCTGCTTTGGCTACTGGATGAGGTTTGGATCTTGACACAGGACCAAACAAGTACTATGCAGTACCAAGAGGTTTCTGATGAGTGTTTAATAATAAATACGGAATGGAAAAGAGGGAAGTAGAAAGTTATTTGCACCGTCTGGAGGAGCAAACTGTTTTGCACCATCACAGTGGTGACTGGTGGCATTGTAAAAACATCAAAATTAGAGAGGAAGAGGATGCTTTAAATCAGAAGATTTCTCTATCCATTCTGCCTATTAAAAAAAGGGTGACGTGGAACTGAAATGCAGGCAGGTGTAGGGGGGCAGGGCCAGGCTTTGTGGCTGTTTCAGGGGCAGCCAAGAGCTCTGCAGGAAGCCATGGATGGGGTGTATGGGCCCACAGTGCCTTTGCCTTTGGGTACATGCCTGGGGCTGGTCCTCTGCTTCTTTCACCAGGGGTACAGCAAAGCTCCTCCCCGTGCTGCATCCCACTGAGCCCTGGGTTGTGCTGGCCACAGCCTAAAACGCTGCTGGGGCTGGGTGAGTGCAGGAAATGCAGATCCTCCTCCCTGCAGCATCCCTTGGGCACATGGCAGCAGAGGAGATTCTGCACAGGGCAAGTTTAGCACAGGACAAGCTCCTCCTGTGTTAGAAGGATCCTCAGTGGGCAGCAATGGCCACCACATGCCTGCACTTCCCCAGTGAGCCACAGCTTGGGGCTTGGTGCTCTTTATGTGTGCATTTAGTGTGGCAAAACCACGCTCTGAATGTGCCATGGGCAGGTGTGAGTATGGTAGGGCAGCCAAGTTTTGAATTTCAGCCAGTATCCTAATGGAGAAGAAGCCACCAAGCAAAGTACAGGAGATTAATTATCAAAATAGCTAAAGATCAATTAGCTATTCAAAAGACTTGAGGATGGAAAAATAAAAATAGAAGTGCAATGATATGCTCTGTTGCTGAGCTTTTTTACTTTAATCAGCTATTGGACTGTTGAGAGGCTGGTAATATCCAGATCAGCCTTTCTTAGTGTCACTGCTGGAACATGGGTAATTAGAGGGACATCCCAAATGCAAAGGGAGGTGTCCATGTAGGCAGGTGCCCCAGGCAGTTCTCAGTTCAGCCACCCTCTGGGGTGCTCCAGGCAGCTCTAGAATGGTGCCCTCCTCCTTTGGGCATCAGGGGCCCTGGAAGAACCAGACGAGGAGAAACATGAGTGCTCAGAGGATATCTCTGCCTCTGTAATTAATGAGGTGTAACCAGTGCTTGGGAAGCCCATGCAAGGTTTCAAGCCTGCTAAACATCCTGTGGGACACAAGATACCAAGCTGGAAAACAGGAAGCAAAGCCAACAGCTGGGAGAGCAAATAAACTGTCACACAAAAACCAGGGCCCTTCCCTGAGTCTGGCTTCAACAGGCTTCTGATCTTCCTGAGAAAAATCTCGGGTAATGCACTGGGGTGATGCAGCAGCAGCTTCACTGCACTCCCAAGGAGAGAAAAAGGTTCAGCAGAAGCTTCTGTGGAGCAGCAAAATGCAGATGTAGCTGCAGGTTTTGCATGGGACAGTGGCTGTGGCTGTAGAGAAGGGAATAAGCAGACTGGTTCAGAACAATCCCCTCCCCAGTTCCAGCCAGGCTTTCTAACAGTTGATTTCTTCATCAGACTTTTCCAACAGCATCATCCAGGTAAGGATGGTCTGAAAACAAAACCTGCGTCAGCCTGTCTCAATTTGTTTATTTTTTTTTCTAGCATGCTGTTGAAATATACAGCCTCCACGTGGACTGCAAGGTCACCTCACGATTTGCTCACACTGTCATCACCAGCAGAATTGTCAACCGAGCCAATGAGTCCCGAGAGGCCACCTTTGAAGTGGAGTTACCCAAGACAGCCTTCATCACCAACTTCTCCATGTAGGACCAGTCCTCACCTGCAGTGTAAAGGAGGCAGCTCGGGGGGGTTCATCTTCCTGCTCAAAGAAAGAGCACAAAGAGGGTCCTCTGCAAAAATGCTCTCTGGGGCTAAGTAGTAAGCAGCCAAATAGAAAAGAGGTGCCCAGGGCCAGGCTGCACAGGGTGGGTGATGTGCTCAGTGGCGGTGCTTCTCCTGCTCCAGCCTCCTCAAGGCTCTGTAAGGACAAGGATTGTGTCTGTAAGGACAAGGGTTGTATTGTGCTGGTGGCTCCTGGCATCCTCCTGGGTGGGGAGGGATTTGAGAGCCAGTCTCCCTTGCTCATGGCCAGAGAGCCACAAAAAAAAAAAACTTCTGTTGATTTTCTTTTCACAGTGCATTCCTTCTAATATAAATTAATTTTCATGGAAACCAAACAGGTCCATTGATGGTGAAGTATACCCAGGGATAATAAAGGAGAAAGCTGCTGCTCAAAATGAGTATGACTCGGCAGTCTCGCAGGGACAGAGTGCTGGCCTCGTCAAGTATGTTGCTATTCTGAGTAAGACTGCTCCAGCACCCCTCCTTGGCTTCTTATTTGGCTGGGGCAGATTAAATCCTGGTGATAACCACATCCCAGTGTGGTCAAATCAGTGAAAATCAATCTTGGGTTCTTGGTGGGGGGGACAGTGTACCTTTGTGTGTGTATATATACATACATATATATATATATATAATTTTTAAAACATATATATAAATTCACAAATAAATTATGTATGGGTGGTCTTGCAATGGGCTCCAGTAGGAAACATCCCTGTTTACCAGTGCCTTGGGACTTGCTGTGATAGAATCACTGAATCACAGATCACAGAATGTGATCATCAAATCTGATTCTTAAGTGAATGGTCCATGGAGGGATTGAACAGACAACCATGGTGTTACTAGAACCATGCTCTGACTAATTGAGCTAATCTCAGGGTCAAAGATCCTTAAAGGACCCCAAAGATCATTTAGTTCCAAGCCCCCTGCCATGGGCAGGGACACCTTTCAGGCTGCTCAGAGCTCCATCCAGCCTTGGTCACTGTCATTCAGGAGCACCTTGCCACACTGGGATGATGCTCAGTGCTGAGTCTGCCTTCGTGCAAGCACAGAGGACCATGGCACTTGAACAGATATTACAGTTTCAGGGTACATTTAATCTGTGCTTCACAGGTATTCACTCTGAGGCATGCAGGGGTTTCTGCTCCATTTCTCAGCCCGTGACACATTAATGTAATGTACAATATGTGATGTACATAGCAGCACCTGTGATGTAAAAAATCCTCTCTAAGATGAAACACATTTACTGCTACTCTATTTATCCCATGTGACCCCTTGGAGGGGCCACAATAAAAGTGTGCAAATTATTTTGCACACTTCACAAACTGCAGCCACCACAAGGACGTAAATCACTTTTCTTCCTCCCAGAATTACAGACAGAAAACTGGAGCAGTTCCACGTGTCCGTCAGCATCGCAGCTGCCAGCAAAGTCACTTTTCAGCTGAGCTATGAGGAGCTGCTGAAGCGGCAGCTGGGGAAGTATGAGCTGCTCATCAAGGTCCGGCCCAAGCAGCTCGTCAAGCACTTCCAGGTGAGTTGTCCTGGGGAGGGCTGGGCAGGGAGCAGTGCAGTGGGTTTTAGCACAGCCACCTTCCCTCTGAGACGCTGATGTTCACATCTTCTCCTCTACCAGATCGATGTGCACATCTTCGAGCCCCAGGGAATTCACTTCTTGGAGACAGACAGCACATTCATGACAAACGAGTTAACTGAGGCACTCACCAAAGTGCAGAATGAAACCAAGGTAAAGCAGCAGCTGCCAGAGGTTGCTGCCAGTGGAGCTCTGAGTTATATTGCTTTAGATATTCCCTTCTGATTGCTTTGCAGGCTCATATTTTATTTAAGCCAACTCTAGATCAACAGAAGAAGAATTCTGAACTTGATGAAACGCTCCTCAATGGTGATTTTGTTGTGCGTTATGATGTTAAGAGAGAAGCCACTGCAGGTGATATACAGGTAAAAAGAAATGAAAATGCTTTTAGATCACCGATAAGTATGAATGTGAAGCGCAATCAGCAAAACAGTAGCATTTGCTTTGAAACACCAAGAATGACACAAAAAGCTCTTCCCATTAATCCAGGGTCAACAGGAACTGAGGGTGATACTGAATAATCCCCAGAGACACTAGGTAAATTACAAAAAAAGATCACTCAGGAAAAAAAAAATCAATCTTTAAAATTTTATTCAAATACCCAATCTATATTGGTATTTCATAGAAGTCTCTTTACACTCTTTTTAAATTATTATTATTTTGGCTCCTCTAGAGTGTATTTTTGGCTTCTTGTAAACACATTTTAGAGGAATGTGATTTATATAACTTAAAATGATGCTTGCTCTCTGTTTTTTGTGATAACTGAGGCATAAGTAAATACAGCAGGAACTTAACAAATATTTATGAACCAATGCATATTCTAGGGAATAAAATAGAGTATTTTCCATATCATTTCACTAATGAAGTATATACAGGTGTGCTAAAAGGTGGCAGCCACAGTCATTCGGCAGAGATGTACTCATAGGTAACAATAAAGAGGTAATGTGATACACAGTGATAATATGCATATACCATACATATGGCACTGAGGTGTCTAATATATATGTATGTATGCATGCTGCTCTCTGGCAATTTTCTCTCTACAGACAGTCTTGCTTCCAGCTAGGAAATACATTTTACTTTCTTTAATTTAAGTTATTTTATTTGGGCTTATTGAGAGAGCAGAATGCTGAGCATGCTCCCCACTTCTTGCTATGCCAGAATCTTAAGATTTATTCTTTATTTCTTTAGATGTACTTTTATAGGTGATTTCACATTCTGTATTTCAGATTGTCAATGGGTATTTTGTCCATTACTTTGCACCCCAAGAAATGCCAGTGTTTCCCAAAAATGTCATCTTTGTTATAGACCGAAGTGGCTCCATGACAGGCAGAAAAATTGAACAGGTAACTTCCCCCAAAGCATGACCTGTGTTAGCAGCAGGCACACACACCCCAGCCTTCTGAGGAAGCAACTGGGAATTTTCATTGGAAGCACACACTGGTTTTGTACACAGCAAAAGATAAAGACTTACAGAAATGCTTGAAAATACATATGCATAGATTGAAGATATTAAGGAGTAACTCTTGTCTGACACAACTATTTTCATGGGTATTAAACACTGAGGCAGAGAGAACTTTCTGTATTTTTGCAGAACTTTTTGTGTTTATATTTTTCTTTAATGAAGCTTAGAGAGTTAATTCATCTGTTATCTGTTTTATGTTTACTGATGACTGTGTAGCTCTGCTTGAGAGCAGACAAGCCCCCTACAGCCCTCATAGGTTGGATTTTGTGTCTGAAAGTTAAGTGGTTTGTCTATTTCTGATGGTCTCAACCTAAAGCATACCATCAGGGTTTAATAAAGGCATAGGGCTGCTTCTGGAACAGAGCTGTAGAGAACTCCCTTATTATACTGTAATTTCAACCCCAGTTCAGGCAAAGAAGTGGAAATAATCAAAATCACTGTTTTCTCCTTGGGACAGACAAGGGATGCCCTGTTGAAGATTTTGCAGGACCTCCGCCAAGAAGATCATTTCAGCTTTATCACCTTCAACAACAAAGTGGTGGAGTGGAAGAGCTCTTTGCTGCCAGCCACTGAGGAGAACGTGGCCAGTGCTGCAGCACTGGTGCAGACTCTCACTGCCAGGGGAGGTACATGTGCTTGTAGCCACAAATATGTACCCAGTAGAATTAATTGCTTAGAAAATAATTATTGTTCTTAGTTATATAGTGCCCCAGAGCTACCACCAGTGCTTACACAGCAGGTCAGTTTTTAAGACTTGTGAGTGATGAGTGGGAAAGAAAGCCTGTGAGTGGTCAGACTGGTGACTTCATTATGAGATAGATATATATTATATAAGAGATACTTACAGCACATCTGTGAACCAAAGCCACCAAGCTTTGTTTCCAATTTTTATCACAGATAAAAGATTAGATTAGAAGATTACTTGATAGCACATTTTTTTATACAGAGAAATGGTAATTCACTCAACATTTGACAGCGATTTGCTGATTTTTTTCTTTTTATATTGAGTTTCTCCTTGTAAAAAAAAAAAAAAACAACAAAAGAAGCACATCCAAAGTTATACTCCTTTGTAAGCCATACCACATAAATAAAACAGGCAAAACAGACATGTGGCATTTCAGTTGCTGCCTCAGTCAGTGTGCTTGGTGTTATTATTTCCTTTTAAGCACATCTCAAGGGCTCTGCCTCCCTTTAATGTTATGCTGTCAGTATGAACAGAAGTTTCCTTACCCCAGGCGGTAACACCAATAAACCCAATCATGCTCAGCTCTATTTCTCTGACTTCTTATAGAAGGCAGTGAAACTTTTCTTAAATATAGGTTAACAGATGACAGTGTGTTTACTTAAGCACTTTTTAATAGCTCTAGACATGTTTGTATTTCCCATGACATATGTGTGGAAAATCCTCCCAAGAGAATACTCCGGCGCTGCCGTTGCAATATAACACCCGGTAATTAAGTCCAGCAGGCTAAGTCCCTAAATCCTCCTCTCTCGGAAGGATTACTTCCTGCAGAAAACTTTCAACAAGTCTGCAGGGCCTCTGCAGATGAGTCTCCTGTTTAGGTGAGCGGTGCCTGCTCTCTCATTGCAGGCACAGACATCAGTGGTGCCCTGCTGGCTGCCGTGGGCGTGCTGGAGAAAGCCGAGGGGCTGCCAGAGCGCAGCATCTCCATGATTATTTTGCTGACAGATGGCCAACCCACTTCTGGTGAGTGAATGCTGTGCACGGTCCTCCCTCCCCTGGGGTTTTTTTATCTTTTACACTTGCATCCCAATATTGATAGACCTAGCCTGTGTTTTAGAAGAGCTTTGGAATACTCTGAGCTACTGCTGGATACGAGAGGGCTCTGTTGAGGGCTGTAGGGAGTGATGGCAGAGCCTGCCTGCCTGTGGCTGCACATCCTCTAGCTGGGAATTGTTTTGCTGCATACCATTGGCTTCCCGGTTTATAAACTCAAGGGAATTGGAGATACTCCAGGCACAGCTGAAACAGAAAAGTAAAATGCCTAAAGACAAAATACGGACATTTTGCAGATACTGTGTACAGTCCTATTTGAGAGATACTGCTTGGCCTTCTTCACCCTCTGTGCCTCAAACATAAGATATTTTCAAGGTGCTTCTTGTTCTGCGCTCTTTGTCAAGTCTTAATCAGCGATCAGCTGTAACAGTACAAACCAAAGGGCTGAGATTGCAGTATCGCGTGAAATAAGCAACAACTCCCAGTGCAATGGCACAAATTGAACCCCTTGTCTTCTACAGGGTTTTTTCTTAGTTTTGTGTGGCACCAGCATCACTCCAAGGTCAGCAACAGTACTTTATCTGTAAGCCCTTAATAAGATCATTCTGCCTTTTAGATTGTGAGAGCCATTCTGCTTTGGGATTTCTTGATTTTATTTTTTTAATAAAATTCAGCTCACAGTGCTGCCTCCCCAGCACAGCCACAGTGAGTATCCAGGGCTCCCCACATCCAGCAGATAGAAATCAGGACAGGGTGGCATGTCAGGCATTATTGCCTACGCTGCCTTCCTTAGCAAAGCAGCTAAAAAGGAAAAAAATCTGAGCTGCTGCCATGGTATTGCTACAGACAGTGACAGTTTCTGCCTGGAAATGCTGATAAAAAGCTCTCCATACATGGCCATCGGCAGCTCTTCAAATGGGGCAAGGTGATGGTGTGAAAGTCTTTTCCTCTGTCACACAAAGGGGCTGGGAGAGAAGCATGGCTGAGTTCATTGCCAATTTGTTGGAATTGCACCATTAACCAATCCATTCTTCTCTGAATTGACACACATAATTTTTATGGATGGCACTTGTCTTTTGAATGCTTTATGAAGTGTATCCATCCCTCGTGTTGCTAACTTGTAGTGTGTATCCCTTCTGTACTAAAAACCTCCTCTGGCCTTGTAATCCTATAAAATATTTTGCACTTAGCCATGACAACATCAGTAGAACCTAACAAAAGTCATTAAGGGGGAGAATCATGTTCTGGCACTCTATATGCAGAGTTGTGCTTTCATTTCCAATTCAATTACCAGCATTCTATCCCTTATCTTTTTAGTATTTTATTCTGAATTATTTTTAAAAACTTCAGGCAGAATTTTCCATTAACCTGCTGCAATCTATTTGCACTTGAAAAGACCCAAACCCACAATGGTACTTTTGTTTCATTTACAGGTGAGAAAAATGTGGAAGTAATTCAAGAAAAGGTTCAGGAAGCAATCAATGGGAAATACGCTCTTTTCTGCCTTGGCTTCGGGTTTGATGTCAGTTATAAATTCCTGGAGAAAATGGCCCTGAGCAATGGGGGAATAGCACGGCGTATCTATGAAAATGCTGATGCAGCCCTGCAGCTCCAGGTCAGGAGTAAGGAATGTGCCAGGAAAGCCATCTATCAGCTACAGCTTATATCTAGTTCTAGCAGGAAAATCACAAATTTTTCTGAGATAAAATGTTGAGGTTGAGTTTACCTGTTACTTTAGCGGAGGGAGGAAGGCAATTTTGGGGTATCTGAGGGTTTGTACCCTCCATGTTATCCTGACTCAAAGTCCTCAAATCAATTGCATTCAAACAAACTGGAAAACTCACACATTTCTGTACTGTAAGAAGATAAATTGTCCAGGGGAAGTGGACAATTTCTGAATTTTCAGTAGTCTCGCACTACTAAAGAAAAACTTTTTAAGAAGGCTTTAGACTTTCAACATATTGCTTTGCACAATTTTGCTGTCATTTGTGTGTGTTCACTGTCTCATTGCCTTTCTTTAGGGTTTTTATCAAGAAGTGGCTACCCCAATATTAATGCAAATTGAAATGCAGTATCCAGAAAATTCCGTTGAAGGATTAACCAAGAACAATTTCAAGCTGTTTTTTGAAGGATCTGAAATTATAGTGTCTGGAAAAATTAGTAATGAGCTGGATCTTTTGCCAGTGGAAATTAAAGCTCAATCAGTAAGTGTTTACTTTACTAATTGTGAAAAGCATCTCTCCCTTCTGTCCTTTGTGGCACAATAGGAGGCTTCAATAAGTCTTTTGTATTTAGTATATGTTTGTTACTTTTAGGCTCTCAGCTGTTTTCCCATTGTTTGATCTCTCAGATAATTTGTTAAAATTACCCTCTCTTGAATTTGCTACAAAAGAAAAACCTTGAAGAATAGTCACAAATAAGTAAACAGAAATTTTAATTCAATTTTGTTAATTCTTTAACAAAATCCAAATATTTTTAGCATTTTAAGCACTTTCAGGTTTCTATTGTTACAATGAAATAGGAAATCTCAATTATTCATCTCAAAAATGCTGAAATAGAATTTAATTACCTCCCTTTTTCATCATTGTTTCAAGTCCAGAAATACAAATCTAAAATGCGTGCTTTTTAGATACTTTGGGGTTGCATTTTCCAATGGGAAAGAACAAAATTGAAGGGCAACTGGTACTGAAAGATATTAAGTCTCATAATGTGACTGTAAATGAAGTTTATAGAGCTGAAGTTTATGGAGCTGTTCTTTTGATGGTCAGTTTTCTCCCACTTCAGCACACGAGTAACTTGACTCTTAAGGAAGAAGCAAATGTCAAAGAGAAGGAGCAAGTATTCCAAAATCAAAAGTACATCTTTGGGAATTTCATAGAGAGACTGTGGGCTTACTTGAACATTCAGCAGCTTCTGGAAGAAGCGTAAGTGATTTTAATGCTTCACATAACAAACTTCTAACTTCTCAAAACACAAATTCCTTATTCACAAATTATATGATCAGAAAACACAAAGAAACAGAAAGATTTTTCCAGACAGTATCAAAAACATAAGATACTGGGAGAATACGACATTACTGTATGATGAGCATGGATGTGACTTTCAGTTTATGCTAGCACTACAACATTCAATTTCATATATATATGAACACGTAATGTAATACATTCTACATGACATTACTATGAAATAGATGTCAGTTGTATGGATTGCATTGAGCTGTTCTTGAACACCCAGAAATATTGTCTGTAGATAAGGAAATGGCAACAGCTAGAGACTAGAACAATATGGATGTCCATAAGATACTTCAAAGACCATGCATCTATTACTTTTATGTGTTTAAACCATATATAGGCTCCAGTGTTTCAAAGAATGAAGCATTTCCATCATTTTAGGCACATGAACAGCTGAGTTATCCCCCTAGGACTACTGACCCTTCAATAATAAATATCTGTGGAGGCACAGCTAATATGTAATCCGAAGATGATTTGTTCATAGTCTCTATATATTTTTGCTTCATCATTAACACAGACTTTAGTATTTCAGCCCAAGAAGAGGACCAGAAGGCCCTGGAGGCCCAAGCCTTGGATCTGTCCCTGCGGTACAGCTTTGTCACACCCCTCACTTCCATGGTGGTCACCAAACCCCAGCAGCAGGAGGAGCTGGCAAACAAACCCACTGAGGCTGGTAAAAACAGCCCCTCTGAAACACTCTGCTCTTCTTGATTCATTGTTGTTGACTTCCACTTAGCTTCATTTGATAGTGATATAACGAGGCAAATTGGAGGCAGGAGTTCAGGGATTGGCTTCCTTTCAAAATAAAATATGAAGGATTTTTTTGAACGGTGAAGTGATGAAACAGGCACTACAATTGAAATGGAAAACAGTTTGTTTAAATATTAACTAAAGGTAGTCTAAGAGCTGTTACATAGAGTTTTGCATGGGCTCTATATACCCATCCCTTAGCACAAAAAACCTTGTCACCTTGTCTCAGTTTGCTGGTTCACATGGGTAAAGTAATTCAGTGTTAACTATATGACACTCATCTGTCCCTCTTCCTCTTCACAGATAATGAGAAGCCCAGCAGTCTTCCAGCAGGAGGTAAATGTTTTCTTCTTTTCCAGTAGCATATTTTCATAGTCTCTAATTAAAAAAAAAAAAAAACAAACCAAAGCAAACAAAAGAATTCATGGTGGTTGTTCTATAGAGGGAAGTACCTGAAATTTGAAAAAATGTCTGAAGTAAGTTGTAAGCAATGCCTACCACAGTCTGTGCCGATGTTAGGTGGATAACAGGGTCAAAGGGAGAAAACCTTCCATTCAGAAAGTCTCAAAGGTCAAAATTATTTATCCTCTTGAGGAAAAGTAGTTCTTCAAGCCAGTGGTGTTAATGATGCTTTCTGCTTCTTCCTATCACGTGTGAAGCATCTTTCAAAAGATTCCACTCAAGAATGCCTTCTGAGGATGAGTCAGGTATTTTTTTCCTCTCTGGAAACTGTATTTATTTGAATAATAATTTATAGGTGAAGAACCTTGGTTTTGCTCTAGTTCTTTCACAGAAATGTATTGAGAGGATCACAATGCTGCCCTGTTTCTGGAGGCTGTTTCTTTCTAAGTGCTGCTGGGGAGTTCAATAGCAGAACCACTCCTGTAAGGGATGTAATGCAATCATGAGTAAAACACAGATAATTTTTTTTTTCTCCAGGTGTTCGTAGAGGGAAAAGTGGGTCACCTGCTGGTAAGTACTCCTCCTCTGTTTCTCTTCAGAATAATTCCATGAAGTTCATTTCATATGTAGGGTCATATCAACTTTATTTTATATAAATGCATTTGGATTGGAGATGCCCATTTAATATACAATTTAGTTTTTATCATAAGCATTTCAGTCCACAGATATTTTATAATTAACTATAAACATTTGAAAACAATCTTGGTCCCTTTTCAGAAATAAAAAAAATATATACCTCCTGAAAATAAATATGAAAGATATGAAAAAGGATATATTAGTAAGCTGAAAGAAATGGATGTAAAAACAAAATAATTCACCAGTCCTGGGGTATCCAGGAAAGTCAGTGGACAACAAGCAGGACAGATTCCCTATTTCAAAGGGTAGGAAAGGAGGTGCAAGGTATAAACCCAAAGCAACAAAACATCTGGAAAACCCTTTTATTTCAGGTCGGTGGCGCTCTGAGCTCCAAACTGGCAGCAACAGGAAGATGTTTTCAACAGGTAGCTGCTCACAGTGGGGTCAGAGGGGCTGGGCTGGGTGTGCTGCATTCAACACTGCCCAGTGACCCTTGAAAACACAGCTTTAAACCCTGCCAGCTCCAGCTGAGCATAGGCCCATGGCATGGTCCATCCTGAGAGAAATAGGCTCTGCATGTTGTGCCCCTCTGGGACATCTTGTCTTAGGCAAAGCTCTCCACAGTCATCTGAAGAGCTCTGTAAAAAAGGTTTCTGCCCAGCATTTGTCCTGGTTCATCAGCTGACTTAGAGAAAAATATTTCCTTAATCTCTTCTTACTAATTTTAGCTCTTTCAGTTTCCGGGTTCAGAGGTGCCCTAAGAGCACCAACTATTGGTAAGTGACACACGTCCTAGTCTCATTTCAATTATTAATGTAACTGTAATGTACACTTCTTCATGCAACAATGCTTTTTCTGACTTCATCAACTCTGAAAATCTTTTACCTCTTCTTGCAGACCTTGGCTAGTACTTTTCATTTAAGTAGAAAATAACCCTGTGTTCCATGAGAAGACCTCTCTGGCTCGAGTATATAAGAAACGCAGTACAACAAATCTTCAGCCTAAGCTTTTTAAGGGTTTCTTGTCCTTAGTAAACTCTGCATTTAAAATCTGTTGGTTTCATTCATATCAAAGTGCTGTGTCTGGTTGTGCTTTTCAACAGTTATTGCTTTGTTTTTAACCATTCTATCCAATAAAAGCTATAACTGCTGTTTTAGGAATGAATCTATAAATTATTTTTGCTGTACCTATCCAGCACACAGGCTAGATTTTTTTGTTGCTGATTTTTTCTTCTTTCCTTTCAGCCAATGAACATCCACAACTTCTCTTGCACTTACCCAGACAAAAAGAAAGAATCTGTTTAAATATTGATGAAAGAGCACAAGCCTCTGTCCACCTGCTGTCAGATCCAGAGCAAGGTCAGTAAGCCATGTTACCCCAATACCAGGATAAGGTGAGTCACTGGGTCTGTGAGTGCAGTTGGTGTTTTTGGGAATAACCCCCTCTCATGAAGAGCCATATCACACCTGCTGCCTTGCACTGACCAGAGAGGCTGTGGTAAATTTGGCCTTTCTGTTAGGCAATATTGATGGTGCAACAGCTGGGGGCACTTCTCACAGGTCTGGCTGAAGATCACCTTCTCCTCCTGGTGTCACATCCTCCTTGGTCCTTAGGGTGTTCTCCTACCCAGCCCTTGAGGCTTTGGAGGATGCAGAGACCTTAAACCTCGCAGTCCCTGTGTGCCAACTGAAAGCTGCATGTTCTGGATGTAGAGCAGATTTTCTGTGGTCCTGTCATTGAGGAGACATGTCCCAGGCAGCAGGACCTGCTCTAATTATGGAACAGAGACACCTCTGTGCAGGAGGTAGAAGCATGGGGTTAAACAAGCTCTAGTGACCCCACTACAATCTTGGGGCATGTGGAGCTGCAATCCAGAAATGCCCCACAAAACAAGAGTTGAGACCCTGGTTTCAGTAACAAAACTGGAGTGGGTTTATTAAGACCATTTGTCCCTTAAGAGAAGAATCACCTGACAAATTTTTATTAAAGGACTCACAGTGACGGGGAAACTTGGAGATGGAATAAATCACTTTGTGCAGTTTGATATTAACTATGTGAATCCCCCTGTGGAAATCCACGTCTACACTCATGCGATCCTTGTAAGCCACAGCAACAAGAACAGTTGGCTGTCATGGACAAAGTCAACCTCCTCCACCATCCAGGGGTAAGAAACTTCTCCCTGTCTTTTCCTAAACTTCAAAATATGTCAGATCTTTGTTCATTCAGGCCTCCCCTTACCTGAAGTAAGTTCTTCCTTCCAGATGTTCTTCTCCAGCAAGTATATCAGTGTGAGTAACGGCAGGGTATCTTTATAGAAAATAAGTTTTATTTTAATTCTCCATGCCTGTGTAAAGACAATCAGAACAACTGCACCATCAGCCTGCTGCTCATGTATTTATGTTCCAAAGGAAAGGAGCCATGCAGAGCAGCCTTGTGCAGCCGTTTTGTGTTCCTCCAGGGCAGAGCGAGCACTGCCAAGTGATGGGTTTGACATTTACTGTCCCTTTTATACAGCACTTGGCTCCACACAGGCTGGGGTTTTCTTTCTCCTCAGTTTTAGCAATAACTCCCATCTGGGAAGCTGACTTTTTTTATGGGCAGGCATAAAATGTTGGAATAGCTGTCTGTAACTAAATGTCCACTACAGGAGAAGGGATACTTTAAAAGCAGACTTTATTTTTTGGCATAATTAGAGCAGGATCCTTCAGTACCACAAGGAAGAGCTGAGTGTAGATGGTTCCCCCAGCCTTTTTATATTGCTGGACTAAGTCTCCACAAGGATCCCCTGCTGGCCTGGGGCAGACAAGACACACATCACTGCTCCCACACACACAGTTCTAGACAATAACAAGTCCTGCAACAATTGCTTTCAATTATTCTTGCAATTCAAACAGAGCAAGAGCTGGCTGGATTTCTGTCCCAGTATAATTTGCCAAGCAGAATAATCATCATGCTTCAATCCAGCACCCGAGCCCTTGCATCAGCACTTTGGGGGTGGCTTTGTTAATCCTTTCTGCAGGGAGCAAAATGACAGTGACTTTTGTGTTCCCCAAGACCACCTGGGATCACAATAACATTAATGGGTCAGAAGAAAGGCAAGATCTGAAAAACTTGTGAAATATCCAAGAAAAGAAATTACTTTTTCATTAAAAAGATTGAATTATTTTATTAGTCTACCTTTGTTCTCATTAAAATGGTGAGAATTTTTTCCCATCCAAGTATTTCTTGTTATTATGGATAATAAGGTGTATTCATCAGTAAAAGATTGTCCCCTGGTATATTTGCAAGACCTCTTGTGCAGCAGAGAGAGAAAATATATTCTACTCAATATTTTCTAGCTTAAAAATAACTACAGATCAGGAAAAATGCAATTGCAAAGATATAAAAGGCAAAAAATAAATTATTTTGATTAATTAATGTAACTTAGTTAATACATATTCTTTCTTCACATTCTTCTTGGAAATAATTTCCTCATTTACTTCCTAGGCTGCAAGTGTCAGTTGAAAAAGAAAGGAGCATTACAGCATCACTGCCTGACACGGTCACAGTAAAAATTTCCTTGGTCAGGTTTCCAGATGATTTCCTTGGGCTCTATTTCTTGAACACCGACCGTTTTTCGGACAAAGTCACTGGAGTTCTGGGTGTGTATCAGCATGGATGTGTGCAGCAAAGAATGCTCTTGTAACTCAGCTCCTGAAATGAGAGTGTAGTCAGGGGTTTGTTTCGGGGAGCTCTTGAGAAACTTTGCATTTAATTTATTCCTTTTGGACATTTAATTTGTACTGCCCAGCAATTCCAAAAAGGAGAGGTCTCACCCTGGAAACATAACACATAACACATAACACAATGCCTTTCCTCTCACCAGTGGCACAACCCTAAGTAGCCCACTATGGGTTTAGAAGATGTTAAAATAAGACAGAAATAATAGTTGGGCTTAACCTCAACAGTGCTGTGGAATGACATGATTGATGCAGAAAATTCATTTGATGTCCAATAACAGACTATAAATAATAGACATAAAAATTGTAAGCTATCATGGTTGGGAAATGAAAGCCAGCTGCTCCTGAACATCTTGGCTCCAAAAATCCTGGTGGGACCTAAGTTGAAGTTGTTTTGGAAACTTTGCAAACAGAGAGGCTCCATATTCCAAAAACCACAAGGAAAAAATAATCGCAGAAAAACATCAGAGAAAGACTGAACCTTCCCATGGAGAGTGTTAGCGATAACAGGAGATCACAGATGAAACAGAGGAATTTTCTAATCTTACTAATGGAGTCTCCAAACTTGATCTTTGGTTTGTTTTCTGAGATGAAGAGCTGCTCTCCTGGTGTTAGAGCTGCCATTTGGCTTAAACAAACAGCAACACTCTTCTGGTTTGTGTTTTTTAATAATTTCTGTGTCTGTTGTTTAGGTCAATTTTATTCAAAAGCACAGTTTGAGAGTAACTCCAACAATGATCAGAGTGCTGTGGAAAGACTCCTGAGAGTGTCTGGATCTGAGCACAAAGTTTCCAGGTACCAGATATGGAGGGAGGGAAGAGGGTGTGCTTTGAGATGTATTTGATCAGCACATACCAGAGGTCAAAAGAAATGAAACTGAGGGAGTGTTTGTAAGAACACACCTCTTTGGTGTAAATAATTTGCATTTAAATTTTTCCCCCAAAGCCTGCATTTGCTGTTTAAGTGATGCTATAGGGCTCAAGGCTCCTATTTCATTGAGGGGAAATAATTACACCCTGGGGGGTACAGCTTGCATTGTTTTCCTGGACAGGGAGGGTGTTTCCCTCAGTTAGATTTACCATGAGGAAAATTTTCTATCCTTCAACTGCTTTTAGCACACATCTGTGATGGGAAAAAGAGGTGTGACTGTGCAGGTCCTGGGAGTGCTGAGGTGCAGCTCTGCCCACCCAGGACTCTGACTCCTAGTACCATCTGCACATCAGGGCAATTCCTACCCTGCCCTTTGATTGTGTTATCACAATTTCTCTTGCTTTGATTTCATTTCAGGTTGTCCAAGAAAGATTACAGGCTTGAGTCAGCCAGTGAACCTGTTTCCTGCTGGTCGATAGAACTAACACCCTAGAAAAAAAATATATTTGAAGAAAATTATGCAAATGAAGCTCTTCCAAGTATTTTTGGTGCTTTCATCAAGAAAACCACACAGTTAAATCCTTACTGTTGCTCTAATATGTGTCACAAATATTTTATCATGAAATAATTATACTTTCAAGATATTACGGTCCTTGCTTGTTTGCTATTTGAAAATGGTTTCAAATCTGCAGTGTGGTTTTGTTGTTGAAGATTTATGTGAATGAACTAAATAAAATTGACATCATCAGCTCCCAGTTTGATATGGACAGGTGGACATAGGTTTCCAAGTAAAAATCAGTAGTGTCATCATCCAAGCCAATAAATGTGTCATGCAAACAGTAATAGATCTCTAAAACTTTATCCAGTTATTGATGGTGGTGTTCTTGAACCATGCATTTTGTGAAAACACCATGAAATTTGAGGCAGTATTAGTTTACCATGTCTCTCATTTTCTATTTTATTGCTGTATCAGGGTTCTCTTGGAGGTTGTTCTCTGAGACCATTCAAAGCCCATGAAATCAGCAGTGAATGGAGCTGTGTGTGGGATGCAAACCCACACCAGCTGTGCTCCAGTTCATTGTTGCAAAAGTCTCTGAGGCTCCCTTTTGGAAACATCTGCAAAACAGCCATTGGCTGGTTGCAAAACCTCTGGTTGCAAAACACTGCATTTCAACCCCAAAAGTTAGCAGCTTTTTTTGGCTCAATTTCATACATTTTGCAAACATTGGAAGATGTTTTACAAATAATGAACATCTCAAACCCAACCTGCTGTGCACAGAGGTAACACTGCAGAGTAAGCACACACGCAGAAGCCTCTGCCCATGAAATCCAAGATGTAGTTTCAGTCTTCTGCTTGCTGTAGGTTTTAATTCCAAAATTATTTTGTTTTAGAATTTCAATTCCTTTGTATCTTTGAATTTGAACTGCCAGCATTGTAGGCAGTTTAACAGAAGTTTCTTTCTATCCTGCCAATAATATATAACTGGAAAAACCTTTTTATTTTTAAGCAATGTACTAAAAGAGAGAAAATTTCTTGCCAGAGTCAGTAAGCTAAAACAAACTGTGTCATTAGAAGCCTGTTCTTTAAAGAACTGTGCAGACACGATGCCAAGATATGTTTGTGTGAATTTCTTGTACTTTCAAGGTGCTGATTTTACTGCACAAATTACATGAAAAACAATGTGAATTTGGAAACTGGAAATATTAGATTGCTCACTTCACTGCAGCAAAACCAGGGTTCCCAATCTGATTGTTTCCATTGTAGATGAACTTGGGATTTGAATCACAAGCTATTGATTCAGGGTTATACCAGCAGACTTGCAGCAAATTAAATATTCCCTGCTTTCAGTTATAGGGTGTCTGTGCATCACCTCCTGCCCTGCTCCCGGCAGCAGGGATAGAAACAGCACTGAGCAGGGAGCAGTGGCTCATGGCTGAGGTAGCTTTCACCTGGGACCTTCTTCTTTAAGTGAGGCTCAATCAGACGCAGGCCATGCTTGAGAGCTGTACTCAACCTGCAGTGCCTGAGCTGCCCCAGGCAGCTGCTGCCCTGCCAGCGAAGCTCTCCCTTGCTGCAAAGAAGCTCTGGACCAGGGAACTTACTAAGGTACAATAGAAACTCCTCACATTGTTCAAAGATTTTTATCTGACTTTGAATAGACAAGTTGTGCTGACAAAGGTTTCTGTGCTTTCTGCAGCAGCCCAAAGTCGCTGGTGTGCCTGGCTGCTGCAGCTCCCAAATCCATGTAGTGCTGCTTGCCCTCTGCACATGTGCTTTCCATTCTGTAAGTAGGTGCCATTCCACTCTTCACTTGAATTGTCTCTTAATTTGTTGTTTAGTCACTCTCCTGTGCTTTCCAAGCCCCAAAGTGAGTTCTGGTGGGTTTCTGATTTCCTGTGTTCCCTTCCCTTGTTCAGAAGCTGAAGGAAGATGCAGTAATGAATATTTGGCATTTTGTAATTTCTAATTCCAGTACAAAATAGTGTCAGCATATATGTAACAGATCTATGCATATCTCACAGGATATGGCCCCACACTTCTCTTTTAGCCAGCACTGTAGCCATCAGCAGGAGGAGTAAATGTTTTATTAACTGTGAGCATCTGTCTGCTGCTTCTCTCTGCCCTCTGTTACCTTTAGCGACATTTGCTGTTACCTCCTGCCTTGCAGGAATCTCTGAGTGCTTATTTAACAGGAGCCGTGCAAAAGCAGACCTGGGAGCAACTTATGGCTCCCAAATCAGTCACAGACAAGACTCCTGCCAGTTCCAGAGATTTGCCTCATCCCAATAAATCAAACAGGAAAGTTCTGGCTGGCCCAGGATTGCCTTGCGCCCAAACTCTGCCAGCCAGGTAGGTCAAGGTCTACTTCCACTGCTCTGCTTTGTGTGTTAATGGAGCAAGCTAGGACAAGACCCATGGACAGTGCCGCAGCTCCTGTCTCAGGATCCAAAATGGGTCATTTCTTCATTGCATTCTATTCCATTCCATCTGATTAATTCCCTTACAATGAAAATTTAGAACCGTGTAAACTTAAACTGACAGGTTCCAATGTTCTGCTCTTCTCTCATTCCTTCCTTTTGCTCTCCCTGCCTTCCTTGTTATCCAGTCACTTATTACCTTCTGTAGAAATTACTGTTTTCTTTCACCACTTCTCTCTGGATTTAGCAGGCAAAGATCTGCAGTCACCCTCTACCCCCACCTATTTTTTTTTCTTCTACAAAACTGCTGCTTTCAGTAAAGGATTTTGCTCCTCAGAAAGCCCTGTATCTCCCTTAAATTCACCAGTAAGTATATATTTCCTCTATTTTTTCCTCTTTGATTCTTCTGTTGCATTTTTTTCACCTCTACCTTTATTCTTTCCATTTAACCTATCATATATTCTATCATCTGTTTCTCCCACTACACTCCTCTTTTCTCTGTGTTCTGCATTCTAGTTTTCCACACAATTACTTTCTTTGTCTTGCTACTGTTGGGGAATTTTCTGCTTTGTCATGTGAGACCACAACTGCCATTTTGTGGCTGATTTGGTTAAAAGAAATCTTGAAGTAAATAAGAAATATGGGACGGAGAGAACATGTTTTTGTTTGGGTGGGGTTTTTTGCTTTAGAAGTAAGAGCTTGCAATTTCTTGCAGTAAAAAGTGAATACATAAATAAATGGGGCACTTGCCCTGAATGTGTTCATAAATTCTTTTATGGGAACAGAAGGAAGGAAGGGTCTTCCTCAAGAAAGATACAGTCCAAAAGAGCTATCATTACTCAAATGTGAGTGCTGCTTTCAACTTTGATGCTTCATTAACTTATACAGATTCAGACATTCAAAAGTTAGGTTCAAATTAAAATGCTAAAATACAGAAGTCCTGGATGCCAACAGTCACCTCCTGTGCTGGCAGCAGCCCTCAGCACTGCACGTGGTTCCAAGTAGCACAGGATTATCCCAAAATATGGGCTGGGCTGTCAGATATCCTCCTGTGCTCAATTTCAAAATGCATCTGGCACACAGGTCTTTGTGAAACTGGCATGAGAATATTAAGCTGTCAGAATAACAAAACCAGGCACTGAGTACTGATACTTTTATTTAATCACTCCTGACACTCAATTATTGATTAAAAATTGGGTAGAGTTATGTTTTACAAAGTAATATTTTAAGTCAGAATTTTAAATCTAGTAAGGAGGATACTTCAGAGGATGAGGGATCCTGCAGTCCAGATTGGATCAAATACACAGTAAAACTCTCTATGAGATTCCATCATACATTGTCCTTGCTAAACATGTATGCTTATATGCTTTGAATAGATCTCATGTATTGAAAATATTGTTCTTTCAAACAAATGTTGTCTGCCTGTGCATTTGGAGGAAGTTGCTTAGAAGAGACTGGAAACAATATAATCTGTGTGAACACCGTCTATCAGCCCAGCTCCATTGTCATGGACAAACCAGCAAGGAATATCAACCCCGTGTGCAGGATCTCTTCTGTAATCCTTCTGCCAGCCCCTGAAAGGGAAAACACAGCCATGGGAGTATTGAGGTAGGAGCTGCACCTGGACAAGGAATCTTGCTAAGGACTTCATTATTTTGTACCTTGTTACTATCAGTTCATTGTTTTTAACAACCATTGTGGCATCTGGTTTCTTGGGATCAGACCCAGGATGAATTTCAAGTATGGTGAAGTCAATGGGCTGGAAAAATTGTCCTAAAAAGAGAAGCTAAAATTACCATTTCAGGCATGAAAAGAGAAGCAAAGCGAACAGAAATCCCAGATTTTCTACATCCCTGTGCTCATTTCCACGTCCCTTCAGAGTTTGGATTGGATAAGCAAACACCAAGTTTCAGGTAAGGTTCAACATATGCCTGAGGCATTATTGATATTATTTTCTGTTTATAACCCAGAATTGTATCCACATCATCCGGATTTAAGTTCCAGCTTCTGAAGCACAGAACAGTTACAGCCTTTTCTAGATATCTTTCAAGATATCCTCACTTGGTGTGTTGTTGAATTTATTACACATTTTCCAAGTATTCAGCTTTTTAAAAATCAAATAATCCATGTGTTGATCTCTGAAATTTCTGGGTGTGATTATTCTCAGCACAACTACAATATTAGATCTATAAATTATGTAGCCTCATAAAGAAAGACCAGCAGGGAAACACTAAACAAAGTCATACCTAATAATCCATGGGTCTGTTCAGACAGTTTATCACTTTTCAATGTATACAGTCCCAGGAAATCTTGGTGGAGAGGATGTTTCTTCCACACTTGGTGCAAAACAACAACAAATGAGGCACCACCGCCCATTGAGAGCACCAGATTTTTTTTCCTGTTAATTATCAAAGTTAAACTGAGGGAAAAAGAAAAACATGACTTAGAACATTGTGTTTACCAGAGTTAACAGCAACAGAAAGAAATGTGAGAAGAAAAGACAAATGTAGCTCAATAAACTGAGCAGTGTTTTGTAAGAGAGAGTGTTTGCTGCTTGGTTTGCTCCATGGAGTCTCTCTGTGTATTCACAGAGAGTCTTGGAATCATATTAAATGACACTGGAAAAGGCTACCTGGCCTTTAAACTTTTCAGCAAGGTATTTTTAAAAAAAACTGTCCTTCAACAGTGTTACAGATAGGTTGGTGATATGTAGATACAGAATGTGGATTCTCAGTGATAAAAATTCTCTTATTAAACCATCAGTTCTTTGGCTGAGTGTTACATAACACTTTTTCCTTTAGTTTTTCAGAGAAGTCAACTCCCAAACTGCCTATTTTACTGCTAGGATAGAGAAGATTTGCTTCTGATTGTGTCAGTGGTATTATCCATATGTTTATCACAATAAAAAAATCACGTGTATGAATGACAGTTTGCTCTTTCTGCTGCACTGCCAGGCCTTGAGGAGGCAAGAATTTTATTCTACACAGTGAAATGTAAAGGACCGAGGAAGAGAAAATGTTGCCTGTTCCTTCTATAAACCATTTGCACAGGTATAAATTATTCTGTAATCGATCCCATGAGAAACTGGGATACCTGCTGACAAGAAAGAAAATACCAATTCTGTAACTGCCACAAGTTCAATTTTTAAAATGGAGATTTGCTTTTGGAACACTATTATGCCTTTGAAAGATTACACACTATGTCTGAAGTTACTCCTTAAATATTTGCAAGACACTGCTCTACAAAGCACAGTACCGAATCTAGTTTTACCTTAGTCACAACAATAGAAGATCAGAGAAAAGTCTTCATTTACTTATTTCAAACAGAGGAATTTGTGAATAATTCAGCAATTACACAACAAAGTAAAGAGCAGAATCTAGCAAGGCTTGAATCAATTGCTTTTGTAGATTCACACACAAATCTTAGAAGTATATTATTGATCAACATTTTAAAATATTTTAAGACAAGTAGAAAGTAATACCAGAGCCCAATACCCTTTCTGTAAGTCTTACCCTGCTTGTTGCAAGGTGACTGAGTCCAGCCAGGTGAAACCTGTTTTTTCATCACCATTCTGAATTGTGATCGTCTCAGGAGTTACTGTCAGCTTTACACCCAGGTGCTTATTTGCAATACCTAGTTTTCCAAAATATGTGTTTTGGATCTTTGCATCACTATTTGCTCTCTTATCACCAATAAGTTCTCCATTGACTGTGATGCCTAATACAGAAATGAAACAAATATTGTTTTATAGACTGATCAACTGATGTCAAGGAGTGTCTTGAAAATTTAGCAACTTAGGAAATAAAATATGAGTTGAAAAATAGATCAAAGTTACTTGAGAATGTTTGTACCAAAGTAAAATAAAGTTCTGGGGGTTGTTCTGTGAATTTCCACAGAACCAACAATCATTTTGTTGAGAAAAGTTCAGTTTTTCCCAAAGCACAGAGAGTTTGTGATGGGTACAGAGTCTGAGTGACATCAGCCTCTCTTTAGCAGACATTCCACAAACTGGCAACCTAAGGATTATTTTATTGCTTCTACTACAACTCACTGAGACAAATTACTACTGTCAACCCTCCCAGTTGCCTTTAAAGTAAGTCTAAAATTTCCTTTTGCTACAAGAAGTGAAAACAGTCATGGTAACAGTAAGCTATCATAGCTACAGGACCTCCTGCTAACTTTGCTGGGGAAAAAAGCTTATGCATTACAAAGAGAGAAATAGCCTTAAAACACATTTTGTTAGAAGTATCCTGTATCAAAAAAAAAAAAAAAAAAAAAAAAGCCTAGAACTCACCTGTAACTGAGTCGTTTATTAAATTTAAGATAATGCCAGGGTTTTCATTGATATTGAAACAAAGGGCATCTTTTTTTTGTGGCACTGATATAATGAAGTGTGGATCTCCATCAACTGTAAAGGCAAATCACTGGTGTCTGTATAGTGATACACAGGGTCAAAGCTCCCCATGAGCTTTTAATATTGCTTAATATTTAAATTTAATAACTAAATATAAATTATTTAATAGGAAACAGGCAATTATCAACACAAAAATTACTGATGGGAGGGAGGACTAAGAAAATGACCACATATAATTTCAATTACTTGATCTTTAGAAGACATTGAAAGATGTTTAAAAAGTAAATTAAAATACTTGCCCCTTAAAAATGGCTGATTTTATGGAAGGGAAATATTAAAAATATTCATTAGAATTGTGTGATTTAGCTTTAAATACCCTCTTCTGTTCTCCTAGACAGACACTACTCCAGCTACTCACCACTAGTATACCATGTAGGTGCTGATGCAGATGTGTAATAGAGTGGTGAAGCTGCAGAAGGAAAGAAAGTTGTTAGAAAATGGGAAATTGCATGGGCCATGTAAGATGTCAGGGAGTTAATATGCTAGGTAAATCAGTAATTGCATCCTAGTTTTTAATCTATGGAATGACAGTTTGTGTGCTGCTTTTGAATAAAAAAAAGCTTCAGGATAGATACAGATTTCACTTGTAGTTTAAATTGCTCTGAGAGTTTCCATATAGCCCAAGCAACATATCTGTAGGATACAAATATTTCAGACTTGAGGATTAAACTATCAGCAAGGAAATGCAACATCATCCATTGAAAACTTCTGACTTTTTGATATTTGGGGTGATTTTGTTTGTTTGTTTTACTTTTTTTTTCTTTTTTTTTTTTTTTTCTTTTTTTTTTTTTTTTTTTTTTTTTTTCTCCAGAATGTATTTAAGTCTTTTCAGTGAAGACTTGAAAAAACTAGATAGAGACAGAGACTGGCATCCAGAGAAAAAGCATAACTGTAACTCTTCCATTTCCAGGATTGCCCAGCCAGCAATTTGGTGCATCAGTTGCTCTCTCTTGAATAAAACAGATGCTTTTTGCACAAGTGACTGGACATGTTAATTTAGCCAGAGATGCTGACATCACAGTCCTTTGCTTTATATAATTCCAAAGGAAATGCAGAATTAAATCCATATTCTGTTATTGGGAAACAGCTTTCAGGGAAAAATGGTGGTTTGATGAACAGGTATTTTCTCCTTACAAACTATTTAGCTGAAACTTTGTCACCTCATATTGTTCAACCTTTAAGTGTCTTTTCAGCAGTGAGCAGAATTTGGTAGTATTTGCTAAACTCCAGTTGTACTGCCAGAAAAGGCACCTCTGCCTCTGGTGATTTCAGTTGATAGATCCTGCTCTGTTCAGAAAAGTAAGTTAAATGACTTACCCATCAAAGGACCTGTGAACATCCCTGCTTGAATGAAACAAAATGTTATTTTAGAGGCTACAAAGAATGAAAACCAATCTCACCCACTTCATTCCTTCCTCCTTCAAAACCCAAAAATCTTGTAAGTATGTATCAATTTCTAAATATTATAAGGTAAAAATGTAGTCAAAACAGTTTCTTTAACAGTGCTACAAAGCAACAATATTGAAGGGGCTGAAAGCACACCCTGCTTTCCAGCACAAATATAACATCTCCAAAGAGTACGGGGCTGGCTCTCTCTGGGTCTGGGACAACCTGTTATCCTCTGATCCCTCTGTGCCACCTTCTTCTAAACTGCACCTATGGGAAGGAAGAATTGCCTGCCTGGTTCCACATTTTTCTACTCTTCTGCTCTTTGTACATCTGAAAGTCTGTCAGGGTGTTTCTGTGCTTTAGAAGTGGCAATCATGGCATGAATGAAGATATCTTTGTATGAGATTGCCACCTGGAAGGCCCCAGTGGCAGCCCTGGAGAGCAGCTGACTTGTACTGGGCCTGAATTCCACAGTGGTGGGATGCTGCAATCATCAGAGACAGGAACTGAACTGAAACCACTATTCACAAACTTATCCATCTGAAAAGTTGTATATCTATTCATAATATGATCTTGATTAATGCTTTCATGAACTTTAGGAAAATATTGCATCCTAGATCAAATAAGTAATGTAGAAAATCCATGTCTAAAAATATTAAGTAAATTTAATAAGAAATGTACATACCTTCAGCTGTTGCCATGGGCAGATAAGAAGTAATAGGAAGAAAAAATAAATTTATAGTTTCAGTTATACAATTAAACAGGAGAGATTCTGACTCTAATAAAAAATTTTTAAAAATTAAAACTGTTTGAAAACACAACCAGCTATCTTCAGTATTTTGTAATGACATTTCTTCTCAGTGGTACAACTCAGTATTGGTAGGTCAAACAGGAACATACTGAAAGTAAAAAGCTGTTATATGGGGCAGCAGAACTGCAATTTATTATGTATGGGATAAGAGCTCTATTTTGAATGGCTTTGTGCTGTGCCATACCTATATTGCAAAATGTTACTTACTGTTTTGTGGTTTTCCAGGCATTTGGATGATTATGTTAATGCTGACTGGATGACTGAATACATTGATTTGTGAACTGAGACTTCAGGGTGAGTAAAATTGGTGGTTTTTTTCTTACATGGGGGAGTGCTTTGACTGTTTTCTTCTATTACTGCTCTATATACCTATATATAGAGAGGATTTACTTGGAAAAGGGTTCAGAAAAGAACTTTTGTACTACAAATACCTGGAAAGGGAAAGCAAAGAACTGAAGATGATTGAGTGGATGCCACTTCTGTCAGATGTTTAGGGGTTTCCATTTTATGGAGACCAGCTTAAACTTTAAAGTCATTATGCTGTGTAGTGACTTGAGTGTTAAATTAATCATGAAGGGGTTTTATGTCAGTATTCCATTATGAGAGTCATGAAACATAATGCAAAAATTTATCAGCAGAATGCCTGAAGAATTATTCAGATTTGAAGGGCACTTAGCAATTCACTGGTTTCAGGACTTACTGCAGCTGAAAAAAACCTCACCAATCTCCAGTATCTCTGTTATGCTAAAATGTCTTAAATTCCCATGCCAAAATCAGGAGATTAGAAAGTTTTTCATCTAGAAGGCAGCAGAGAACCCACACAGAATTTCCAAGGAACTTTCAGGGGTTCTAAACAAAAATTGGAGAAAAAATAAAGGATGCTGGTAAAAGAGACTGGAAAGCCTCTGTCAGACCTGTGGGATGAGGGTGGCTCAAACAATACCTGGGGATGAAGTTAGGATGGCTGGGGGACACACTGAGCAGAGAACACTGCCTTGCTTGGCCAGAAAGCAAGGAGGAATAGAGAATGTGTTACACAGGGGTTAAACAGAGAGGCTGACTGTAGGAAAAAGAATGTTTCATTGAGCAAGGAGTTAATAATTAGCTAAAGTATCAGAGGAGTTGAAAACAAATTGTGTGCTTTCACTATAATTGCTTCTCTTTCTGCAATATGTAATATGACTATTGTGTTTTACATAGGAAATCTCAATCTTTTTACAACCTGATATATCCTGCCTGAAGAAGAGCTCATGCAAATTTTCCCTTTTCATGTGGAAACAGGTTACTACATCTATCCCTAGGCTGAAGTATGTAGAAAAATAGTGATGGTAAGTCATCTGAATATAGCTGGATTATTAGATTAGAAACGCTTCTTGGCTTCCAGGGTCTTTTTCTATAGTAGTTTTCCTATTTAGTTTAAAATACATTTATATTAAATTTATAGTACTTTGCCCATATGATTTAGTAATGAAGGATATTTTGATGGAAATGAGCTTTACAATGAGAAGTAATTTTTCATAAACCACACACATGCCAGGCTTGTAAAGTAGATTTTGCAGATACTTATTTAAAACTGTGCCCACATGAAGCCTTTCTTTAGGGTAACATCAAAGGAACTCTTAGCTTCTCAAATACAGTACAGTTGTGAAGATGTCTATACCTTCAGTGGGTTTATCAGCAATCCCCTCTTCATTGTCATTTTCTTCTGGTTTTGTTACCACCATGGATGTCAGTGGTGTTACAAACTTGTACAGTAGTGAGAGAGCCAGGGCTTGAGCTGTAAGGTTCTCCTTTTCTTCTCCTGTGGCTGTAATGCTGAATACAGGAAGAAACTCCCAGCATCAGTGATTGCTGAATCACTCACCACACTTCAGATTACATATTTCAAAGTAAAGTCATTTCTCTGCAGGTAATTTATCAATGAGATGTAACTTACAGTCTAAGAGCACTTCTCACTCTACTGGCTGTCCAAGAGAAAGGCAAAACTGCGCTTTATACTTGCAATAATTTAAAACTGTTTCAAATGCAACCTGAAACATGAATACTGAGGCTAGGGAAGGGAGTAGGTTGATGGATTTGCCTCACTGATTTTTATGCTTTCCCACTGGCACCTCAGTGCAATGTCAATGTCAGCTTCACATCCTAGAAACTGCAGAAGTCAGAGAGTTAAGGTATTATTCCAGGTATAATTACCGTTTTTCCAAGAGCTGTTCAATGGTAAGATAAGCCCAGAGCCTTTCAATGTACTCTCCAAATATGTATTGTTGTTCTTGGAAAGCCTGAGCTGTTTGCTCAGCACCTTGCTCTGTAGTGTATGACAGGGCGTTGTGAGCCTGTTGGGAGTGAGAATGTTCTCTGTATCACAAGTAGCCAGGGACTGACAGAACTTCCCAAAAATTAAGACCTTCACACATGAAAATCTTATGAAATTGAAAACATGTCTAGTTTTATGCCAGAAAATTGCCAGTGTTGTAAGAGGAATTTTGTCCCATTGTTTCTGGGAATTTTAGAGATGTACACTACAGAACATAACCCAGTATTCCACATTCACATTGCATTTTTGTTCATCACAATGGAGGCAAAAGTATTCAGAGATTCTGTGTAGCTTACATAAGTCAAAGAAATTCATACTTACACCTTCACCTCTTACATCTACAGACAAATAGTTTTGGTTGCTGTCCACAAAGCGCCCAGCCACCACAATCTCAGACCCATCATAGAAATGCTTAAAGCTGTTAGTAGTTAGGTCTGATATTTCATTTTCTGGGTAGTTTAACTCCACATCTATGAGCATGGGATTTGACACCTCATCATAAAACCCCTGTAGGATTGAAAGAAAAAAATAAAACATGTAATTATCATTGTTTCTTCAATTCATGGGTAGATCTGTAACCACAAACATCCTGCTATTTCAGCAATGAAAGCTAAAAGTGTATTTTATAAAAAATATTTAGATATTTAGTTAAATCTCAGCGTGCAAGGCCTAGAAATCTACAAATAATGGAAATAAGAAAGAACATACAAACTCTTCAGTCTTGCTAAGAGAAAGGAAGAATATTTGAGAACAATTTGCTGTGGATGATGAGTTCCATCAATATAAATGAAGAGGGATACCAAACCTCCTGTTATTTGATAGAGATAATTTTCTACACCTCTTCTCTGCAGAGATTGACATGACATCATAATCAAAGGAGACTGGGTATTTGATCTTACCAGAGATTGCAATGAAATCTAATTCTTTGGTGAATTCTTTGAATGGCTGCTACTGGAATGTGAGAGTGAAAAAAGGCAACTCTGTACAGCCTGTACCAGTTTCCATGTCTTACACAACTCTAAAATGCCTCAGGAGTGTGGTAAGATACACCTGCTTGCAGTGAATTTCTTCAGAAAGGATATCTAGAGCTTTATGATTTGTTACTCTTCTTGTCCCTTGACATGACATTAACCATATGATCTGTGAGGTGCAGAGATATAATGACTGCAGCAATTCCACCAGAGTGTCCTTCAGAACTGTAACTTGTGTCACCCTATGCCAAGTTTTAAACTCCCTGCCATAGCCCACAGTATGTCCCTACTGTCCCTGCACTTCCTGCTTATATAAGGGAAGGGGAAAATTAAATGCAACTAAAGCTCCCTTCCAACTCAAACTGGTCTATGATTTTATTATCACAGCAGACTCTAGAGCATCTCAGAATCATATTACATGCTGGGATTTTGATTATTTGAAAGTAAGAACATGAATAGTTATCTGACCTACTGTATCTGTGATCACATGTACATGGTAATTACTTGACCTGAAGCTGCAAAGCTGCATCAGAGTCAGGGTAAATCCGACGGGCCAATCCTTTATTCTCCAGTGCCATCCTCTCCAAGAAGCCATAGTCGACACCACTGCCAAAGCCAAGATTGTATAAGGTGTATCTCCCATCAATGGCCTTCTTCACTGCATTCTCAATCTCATGAGTATTTGATAGACCTGCATCAAACCAGGAAATGTTTGAGTTGTTTTCAAAATAGATAACATGATCACAAAATCAAATGTGACTTGGCATGTTCAGATTTCTTAGGAGACATTACCAAAATCTTGATTTAGTACTATGATGCTAGTATAGTAGAGTTCAAATCATGAAAATATCCAGAAGTCAAAGAGGAAGGCCATTTTTAACTAGCATTTTTTTGTCAATTAATGAACTATCTTTATTATTCCATCCAGCACAAACTTACCTACATTTGGCTGGCCATCTGTTAACATGATAATTATAGAAGCGCTTCTCTTGGGCACAAGGTTTTCTTCATGAGCAGCATTCAGAATATCAATTCCTCTCATCAAACCACCATGTAAATTTGTCACTATGAGGTAGATATAGAAATTTGAGTTCAGCAAAGGCTGTCAAGATAAAGATCCATTTTTCACTGGTGTCTGAAGAGATTTCATTACAGTAAGGAAATGAAAGACTTGGATTTACAAGCAGGGGGATGTCTAGATAGAAAAGTACCTGGACTTTGGAAACATAAAGAGAAATAGGTGTCATTTTCTGAGTAAAACTGAACTTCAGGAGTGCCTCATCAGCGATCTGAAACCCCAACACACTGTAGCATTGTGTTCACAGAATCAATCAATAAATTAACGTACACAGTGACCTACTGGCAAGGTCAGTCAAGTACTTACAGCCTTGAGCAGAAATGTGCTGAACAAACTTCCTTGCTTCATCCAAATTCTCAGGAGTGGCCTTGATTAATGTTTCTTTCCAGGTAGATATTTCACTATCAAATAATATGATATTGAAGAAGTCATCTTCTTTAATGTCATCTAGGATTTTTAGCAGCGCTTCTTTTGTCTGTAAGGCAAAGAGATTTAAATACATGATTCAAAATGTAACAGAATATGTGTTTACAGATTTTACATCATTAATCTCTCAGCATTGGGCTATTTTTTACTCCTACACAGTATATATTGAAAAACTTCTGAGCATGTTCTGTTCTTGCCAGTCCCTGTGTCAATTTCAGAGTAACCCTAGGGAAGTCAGCTGCAATAACATCTGGTAAATCTTTGTAGCTGAGATGAAAATCAGGTTTCCCGTCATGGTTGGTTGCTTACACTGAGATAAGCTGGCATGGCAAATGGGTAGCTAGGTTAGTGGAGAAGCTCATAAACAAGCATGCCTGAATATTTTGATGCAGCACCAAAGCCTGAAAATTCTGAACACTAGCTCAGTCATAACTCTGAAAAGAGCTGCTGCTTCCCAGATACAGAGTGAACAGAGAAAATGCACATAATCTGTATACATGGCTTATTTTGGAACTGTCAAGTGCACACGACAGCACTCTCTGGAAATGTTGATATTTAGAGTTTTGACCTAATGACATTTATAAGTAAATATAGGCTAAATGTATAGATTTTTGCTCTACAGCAACACTGCAAACTAGTACATCTGGCAGTGGGCATTAGAGAGGTCACACCATTGAGCCACTTCGTTACAGCTTGAGCAGCACATGTGCACTGTAAGGCATCGTGTTCCTTCCAGCAGCATCTCCCTCCCAGCACTGTTCCAGCTCTTTCATTGAAACTCTACAGTAATGTAATAACTCACTTGTTCTATTTCTCTTCCAGACATTGAGCCACTAGTATCCAATACAAAAATAATATTCTTGGACAACTTCGGAAGATTTGTTGGTGCAAAGAAGTGTACAAAATAGCCATTGACAATCTGAAAAAGAAAATGTTAAAAAAAACCCCACACCACCACCAAAAATTTGGTACATTATAAAGGTAAAACAGATAAAGGAGATATTACTCTCATTTAATGACTAGCCTCTGAGTGGCCTAAAAGGTTTTAATGGCCCTGATCAGTCTCACCTCTGTCCATGGGCCCAGGAGTGTCACTGAAGTGCAAGACTGGGCCTTTAGTCCCTGGCTGAGCTACAGTGTCAGAACAGCTACAGTGTCAGTCTCCAGCTGTGTCCCAGCTATACTGTTCCTATCCATGGACTCCACTGTTTTGGATCCCACCCTGAAGACTGACTCCTGCTCCCACTCAGCTGCCTGTTCCTTAGGAAACAACTGGCCCTCGCTGCCCCCTGACCTTTACTGTGCAAGTTACACTGTTCAACAGTTCAGAATTTCAAGTTGTTAGACTTACCTGCAAATTATCTGGAGTTGTTCTCTTTACATCATACCTTACAGTAAAATCCCCATCCAAGACAGACTCTGAGCAATTTGCACATGTTCGCTGCTGATCGAGGGTTGGCTTGAAAGAGATATGGCCCTGAAGAAAAAAACCTTCCTTAGATCTGAACCTTAATAGCTGAAAATCTTCTACAGAACACATGTGCAATTTTAAAAATATTTATTTTCACAGACATAAGAACAACCTGTTTTATTGGGTTAACCACTAGATTGTACATATCCATATGTACTTAGAAATTTATTGGTGGTAACTGAAACATGAAGGCTGTTATCCATGGCTTTCTCCATACGCTTACTTCCTCATCTGCCTTGGGTCAGCTCTTCACTCTGAACAACACCTTTGATCAAGCTGTTGTATGTATTTAGGAATTCTACCACCCCCATACAAGGGAAAAGAATTACTTGTTAGTAATTCAGTTTTTCTGTCAGAGGTAATCTTGCTAGTATCTGGGTTTCCTCTTGCTGCCATTGCTAGCACTGAAATTATTATTTCAAAATTACAACCATAAGTTAATAATGGAATGCAGTAATCAATGTACCTTTTTTCCTGAAAAAGTTTTTTTAATGGTATTTTGTAGCTCATTGGTGATGAATGTTCCTTCTGCTTCCAGCTCAGCGATACCCTGGGGCTCAAAGATATCTACTTCAATCTGAAATATTAATTGAAAATTTATTGTCATTTATTAAACCACAATACATCAACTCAGCCATTTATAGCAGGATCAGCAACTACAGATGTGAAAGAGGGATTTTAATAAATATAAAGAAATTTACTTTTGTAACTCATCATGACAGTCCAAATCTACACTTGTGTGAATTCATCTTCAGCCAAAGAGGCTTTTTCAGAAGTTAACACAGAAGTTAAAAACAAAGCTAGAAATAAATAAACTTTAATATAAATATGATTTGTTGGAAAACTAGATAGTGGTATCCCATTGAGGCAGATAGGCAGAAAAAGCTGCAGTATTGCAGAATATGACATATGCATCACTGTGATTTAAAGATGGTGTTGTTTCACAGTGGTGTGAGAAAGCTGGAGTTTATCTATAAGGATGCATACAATTACTCCAAGGCATTATAATAATTTTTTCATGTTTTCATACAAGATTTCATTTTGAATGCTCAGTACATGAGCAAATTTGTCAGGTTTACAAATAAAAGCCTGCACTAAAGCATACTGATGACTGCTCCCCATGGAACTCATGAGAAATGTTATCATGGCCTTTAGCTCACCTGTGAACCAATGGGAATGACCATGGTATTTCACTTTCAACAGATATGCAGAATTCCATCATCTCTTAAATTACAGTCAAATTTGATCAGTTTTCCATTTACCTCAAAATCTTTGACAAGCTGCTTTGGTTTTACTTTGATGAACATTTCATATTTTCCAAACTGTCGCTTCAGCAGTTCCTCGTATGTGAGTTCAAAAGTGACTGTACTGGCTGCTTTAATGTTGACTGAGACAGTGAATTTTTCTGTTTTTCTTCCTGAAGCTCTGTATTTAAATGGGGGGGAAAAAGATCTTTATCTTCTTTCACAGTATCTATTGTTGGTGGCATATGTTTTTCAAAAAGAAGTAAAATAAAGATGGGAATTTTGATATACTGCTAAAAATAATCAATCAATACTCAAAATCATACTCAGCCTGAAAAATTTATTCAAGTTCCTCACTGAGCTTAATCCCAGGAATAGTCCCACAAAGCCAGTGAAATTTGCAGGAACAGCCTTTCCATAGTTGCAGTGCCTGTGCAGTCAGAGGCTGTATTTTCTTTCTACATTTTGTGCTACAATAACTATAACTTAATGATTGTTCTTTTGTGCCCTAATGTCAGCAAAGTGCCAGAACACAGCAATTTCAATCTCACAGTCTGCTATGGAGTGATGGTGTGGAAGCAGCAAGATGTGATCCTTACTTGACAAGACCAGCAGTCTGTCCTCTTGAAACAGCCTTCTCATATTGCTTTTTTGCAGCTTCTTTTTCCTTTATAGTTCCAGGATAGGTGACACCATCAATTGTCCTGCACATTAAAAAGTCCTAGTTCAGTTGAAGGTCACTACAGGAATTCTCCCTTTATTGATTTGTTTGCTAATAATCACTTTCAGAGACCTGCTATTGCCAAGATTTGGGCCCTTTCACTGAAGCCAGGCTCCTCAGAGAATTCAGCTGGAATGAAGAGCACTGTGCTCAGTATCATGGAAGTATGATAAACCAATTTTTACTTTGAATTAGATCAAAACTGGGCTACAGCAACACAACTTACACCTATAGTCCTATACTTCAGCATCTTCACCATCTCATCTCATCTAATGGCAAACCAACTCTGTGGATGTGACTCAACTGTCCAGATGTCATAATCTACAGAGGAGCATTTCATCCTGGAACTCCTTAGAGGACTTAGCAGCAATTTCTCATCACCTCTTTCTACCAAAAAAAGTTCTAAAATGCATTATGGGTGGTTGTGTCCTAAAGCTACTACTCCTCCTCACTGGAGATAAAGCAGCCACAGTGTGATTAGCAGAGATGGATGTGCTTAACTGAATCAAACCTCATCATGGTGGAGAAGTGCACATGATTGCAACTAAAGGTACAAATGTAATGGAATAATTCTGCTTTCTGCCTTTCATTCAAATATGATTTTTAAATGAAGAGATAAATTAAGCTATAATGCCATCAGGGAAATTAAGTAATGGAACTTTCCTGGTTTGATAATACTAGAGTAAGTAAGAGGCATTTCTGCATTTCTGAAAAGGTGGATGAATCTGCAGGAAAGGTCCTGCATTCCCTAAGGTTCCCTTCTATTCATGATGATGAATAGAAATAATTGAAAATTAGTCATCTTTTCTACAGATATACCAATGTTTGCCTTTCTCCACATATCTTGCATGTTAAGTTAATAGTACCAGAAAATTACCCAGGAGGTGTTTAGAAATCTATTCAAATAGCAAAGGAAAAATGAACATTTGGGTTACATTTCTCCCATCTGAATTAGTAGAGATTTTTAGTCTTCTTTAACAATCTTGTAAAGATTACACACATGCTGAAGTTGGTAATGAAGGCTGTCTTAGGGAGTTCAACATCAAAGAAGACTTCTTTGGGCACATTCCCACGATTGACAGCTCGACTGGTGATGACATTGTGTGCAAAGCGGGAAGTTATTTTACTATCAATTTTCATGCTACAGATTTCCATCCCATTGACAACCTGTACATTGAGAAATGAAAAAAAAAACCAAACAAAAAGAGCACGCTCATGTGTGTGTTAATCAGTTGTGATTATATTTTTTAAAAGAAATCACAGCAGGACATTGATCACTCCAAAGCAAAAAGAAAGACCTAATATAAGAACTGGAGCACTGCTGTGTTTCCTTGGATATCTATTTCACTGACATGCAGTGCTATTCCACAAGTTGTAACTATAGACTTTAACAAAATACTATGACCATAGCATTATATGCCATTATAGGAATAGGTTTTTTCTCTACTGAGAGAGTGACTTTCTATGGTTATTCAAAGAGCACAGCTCTTTACTGCTGCCTCACTGTATTAATGACTATAGTCATCAGAGGAATGGGTGACTCCTTGAGCAGGGATGTAAGTAATCCTCTTGTTTTAAAATAGCCCAAATGCCTCCAAATTCCATTTTATGTTATTCTCAGCTTCCTCCCAGCTGGAGCTCAATCTTTTTTAAACAAGGAAATGGGCAAGGCAATACTTATTTTCTTTGAATGTTCAGGTATAAGGTTTCTGGACACTAAGTGAAATAATGAGTAACAACAGATGTTTCCATTAGGAATTCCACAATTTGCAGCAGAAGCAGCACTGGAAAGAACCTTGGAGGTTTTATGCTGGGTCTGATCTCTGCTCATTGATTAAGAAGGTCCCCAAACAATCAAAGCATTTAAGCATTGCTGAAGGGGAATCCAGGTGCCAAGTGGAATCAGCCCCAGAGATGAGGCCTCTTGCCTTCCTTAGCAATAACTGCAACATAAAAATAAGAACAAAACCAACATAGAATGAAAGTCTATTAGAGATGCAGAGGTAACTTCAAAACAACTTAGGTATTTATTCAAATACAATGAGATTAAAAAGAATTTGTTCATTCTCTTTCCTTGTCCAAGAGCTTCTACCAGAGCTTGGAAAGAAACTGTCTAGTTAGTCCTACAGCCTAAAACAGGCAGCTCTGGGCTGTTTTCCTTGTCACACACTCAGAAATATCCATTTGCTCAGACTGGACTCACAGAAACATTTTGTGAACACAGTAAGAGTATTCTTATCACTATAAAATCTTGGTAGCTGAGACAAAACCAAACCTTACTCACCAAGTCATTATCAGCATTTCGCTTCTGTAAAAGAAAAAAAGGAGAAAATCATGACTTAGGTAGGAATAAATCTCTTAGCATCCGTGTAGTTGTTACAAGTCAAAAGAACTCTAGGAGAAGAAAGGCTTGAGAAAGGTCTTCATTAATAAACTGAAGTAAATTTGAGGGAAGAGCAACTAAGGGATGTGAGGCAGGTTGGA